TAGACCTCTCAAATGCTGGAACCTATGACCTACTTCTTGATTCGTGTCTTTTCGTCTTCAGTATCTCCAGTGACCTATCTCCATGCAAATTTAAAAAGCTCGGAAAAATTATTTTCCAAAACTGATGCAGCAATTCTTGTAGGAATTTTTTATTTCACATATGCAAACTCCCCTAATTTTTACAGCAGAATAACTTGCTCCTTGGCAACTACCGACGAAAAAACGAAAAAAGTATTATGAAAATAAAAAGTGAATAATGAAAAGAGGAAAAATTGAAAATTATTTAAGGTACACAGTCTTATCTTTTGAAACATGTTTGCACAAAATATGACTTCTGATGGCTAAAGAAATATTCTGCAGTTTTCAGATCTTTAGTTGACTTTAAATACAAATAAATTAGAAGTGAGCCCTGTAATAAATGATTTCCCCCGATAATTCTTCAAATAACTTACCAATTGCAAAATCGAAAACGGTCCCTCGACGACGAGCATCAGGATTCACCTCCTTAATCAGAGACATAAGCTCCCGCAATGTGCAATCCATCCTAAAATGAAGTGACCAATTTGCTTCCTTGCCCACCAAAAAGCAAAACGATATTTTTTTTAATCTGCATCTGTTCTACACTTCACTGCAAATTCAGAAAGCGTTTAGTGGCTGGAAGGAGAATTTAACTAAAGAATTCTTGCTATAGTTCCTTTTCATTTCCTGGTTGTTAATGACATGAAAAAAAAAATTCACGAGTTTCTAATTCAAGTACCACGTGTATATCTGTAGTTCGTTCGCTGGAGTATTCCCTTTCCCGTACTCAGCTATGGGGTTATGACGTCCATTTGCACAAAATATGCGGAGAAGAAGGGGACAGACCTGAATATTCCTGTACACTATTAACAAAAAAGAATCGAAAAACCATCGAGGATCTCGGATATATAGGCCTAATAATAAATAGACACGCATGTATTTCTTACCTTTTCTCGATCTACTGTTTTCTCCTCAGGTGCTTCTACCTGTGAAACAACATTCATGGTAATTAACAAGTTCCTCTGGAACTACGAAATTGAAGCTGAAAAAAATCAAAAAATAAGCACCAAAATTTAAAGGCAAAATTGCACTATCACCTGAAAAAAGAATAATGGAAAAAAAAAAAAGAAAGAATCTGAAAGAGTAGCCAAGAACTTCTCATAATTTCAGAGTACGCTCTGAGGTGACCTAAAAGACAACAAAAAGAACTAAGAAATTTGATGTCAAAAATGAAAACGAAAGGAATCCTTAACAGAAATCTTGTACATAGTAACCACTGCCATAAAATTTAAAAGGCTCATAGAAAGGGGAAGTAAACATCACTATATACGGGTTAAAGCCACGAATCACGAATCTGAAGAAGCTTGGAGCTATTACAGCAAATTGAACAAACATAGAGCGAAAGACATAGACATCTCTAGTATCGTGCCGCAAAACGAAAATCGTTTGAAACAATCAAGTTACTAAACAAAGCATTCTAAAAATTTCTAGCGTGAAAGAAATATCGTTCAAATGGCTTCTAATCAATTCCAATATACTTGTCGTTCTTCATTCGATTATTTTTTTAAAGCAAAATCAAGTATCATTCAATGCCAAAACTCTTTTGGTGGAACTGCTATATTGAAGCGGTATTACCTCCTTGTTGAAAAATATATACATAAAAATCTGTTGATAGGAACAAATGTGTCAATTCTGCAAACCCGGATTTGTTAAAATTTTAAAAAACGCCTATTTCAGCGGCATTTCAAATCGAAGAAACCATATTCACCTTAACGCCTAAAATTTTTTAGCAGAACAAGTGTATGGAAACCATTGACAGTTTAGGGACTTCTACCGGGACATAACTGAATTGGTGAGTTCTCCGGCAGTGTCAACGGTTAAAATAATTGCACCGATGAATAATTATCGAGACCCAGCAACTGGGCAGTGATAGAAAAGTGAACTAGCATAACCCGCACCCTCTGTCCTACAGATACAGATGTCTTTGCAATACTAACTGTTATACAACATGCAAAAGTTTAGCCAACTTACACTAGCCAACAATCGTCAACTGAATCAAGTTACCTTACTCGTCACTGTACTGATGTAGAAAGACATCTAATACCTAGAGACTTGTAACTGACTTGAAAAATGGCAGAGTGGAAAATCGCCACAAAAGAAAATAAACTTTCAGAAAATCGCCTAATTTTTCACAACTATACCGCAATTCGGCAAAATCTTTTTAGTGAGTCGACGACCACTAAATATGACCATTTGCCACAAGTAATTTTATCGACTAAAGACTCCTAAAAAAATATTCTCTCCTTTCAGCTTCAAAATGGATAAATGAGTAAATAAATATGACATTTGTAAGCTCTTCTTGATGTCTCGATAGAAAAACTAAATGTGGATACAGGGCAATGAATCTTTATACCACCAGCATTAAGTATTTTAATTTTACCATTAAAACTGGAAATTGTCAGAGGTGTTTCGGCAGCGGACGCCTTAGCCCAAATTAAAAACGTTATTATAACATTCTAAAAAATCAACCTGATGCTCACTGGTATTACGATTTATCGCTGAAATAAATAAATAAAATAATGTTCCCAAAACTTCAGCATTTTTGAGTTATTTTACAAAAATAAATAACCATAAAATCTCCTTCTCCTTAATACAATCTGCGCAAAGATTTTTGGGCAATCTTTTAAAGAAAGTTTCTTCCTAGTCCAAAAAAAAAAATCATGGAAACGACAGACAGGAAGCCTCGTAATTATTAGTTTTCATAGACTGGATTCCAAAAGCTTGACAACAGGAGTCACCAGAAACCGTTTCAATGAAGTCAGAGAGAGCTTCAACAAGAGACTGCTGAACGATTCCCTCAGTTAATGAAAACAAACTTTGATAACAAAATAGGACAAGGCAAAAGCAAACTGAATAGCTTAATTCCTTTCGAAACCTTGGTGAATGATGTGTAGAAATTTGTAGCCAAAAAAATAAGAAATCATGGAAAGAAGACATGGGAATTTCGAAAGGGCGCTTCATATTTCCATGTTTGGCGCATCCAAAATCCGACGGGAACGCATGGCTAACCTTGTGGCAAAATGCCCACAACGACAAATTTCGCTGCTGCTGCCATTTATAGACGTCGTCATTGCCAATTTGTGTTAAAATTTTTTGCGAACATAGGAGCTTTCTTCTGGAGGAACTCCGACGGTTTTGGCTCAATGCCACTGTGTTATAAAGAAGAAGCCGGAGGTTACCCAACTGACCTCTGTAAAAGTGTGCTAATCTTTTATTGTGGTCGTGTACATGATGTGTTATCAATGCCATTTTGTTTACGGATGTTTAAACCCTTTGCATTCCCATTCCTTCTTTCTTTCGTACGTTGTCTGTCGAGATATTAGCAGAAATGTGACAGGATTTTT